TCTTTAAAAGGAAAAATTAGTTGATTAGCTGATATTGCCATCATCTTACAACAACACTTAAGTTCATTCGAAAGTTTGCTTGTTGTACCGATGCTTATGAATTTTCCTCCTTTATTCACTTCCCTCTGATGCTTCCTGCATTTTTCATGCAACTCCATTTGCAAACATTTTTCTCAATGTCTGAAAATGTTGAGATTCATTACAACCATTCTGATTGCATCGTGGTCACTAAAGAAGACTTGAGATCTTCTTTCTTTTAAATATAATTAATATTCAAGAATCAAATGAAAATATTCTGAAGTACAACTAGAAATAAATTATATAGGCCTATATCTTTATATTTTTTAATACTCCATTTGTATTGAAGTGAAAAATAGTGTATGTCCAGCTGCATAAAAGATAAAAAGCATAATAATAAGCCTGCTGTCGCCAAACAGGCGTGCGCCTCCCAATATTGATGACTATAGTATAAACGAAATCTAATTTAAACATTTACTGTTATGTATGACTTTTAAGCAATTGCAACATGGTCCATACGTACAAAACTTAAGAACCCAGTGCATTTTGGAAAGTGTTTGGTCTACTAGGCCTAGAAAAGAGCAGCAAATCTTCACCAACATGAGAACTGTGGCCCCCACTGATCCGCTAGGAGCCCCAGACCTAATACAGTAATTACTTAACTACGACAAATTAACATTTTCTTTACTTAATTAAATTTATGTTCTTTAACACATTTTTAGCAAGTACTTTAGCACAGAAAATGGTTTGAAATCAAAATGCTTGATCACAATAGAATTAAAATGAAACAAATGGAATGCAATCAGAGACATTTTTTATGTTCTGTAGTCACGAGTTGATTAATGCGTTTTCACGCATGAATTTACTAATGCAAAACCAGACCAACGTGTATATATATATACACAGACGACGCCAAACACTTGGCACAGAACCAATTGTATCCAAGAGCTTGTATATATGATGCCGTGCTCCGTTCATATGCTTAATATTGCGCACAGGTCAAGAAAAGGTTCCCTATCAGTCAGATTAATGTAGAAACCAACATGACGTTAGTAGAACATATCTCAGTTGGCTACTGCTGCAGCAGTGGTATTAATTTTGTTGTCATTGTTCTAAATATCGCATTATCAATGCTTGGGAGTTATTTGATTTTAGATATCGACTGACGTAGAGTGACGGTGGTATGGTCACATGATCAAACAAAGGTACTAGCGTCAATATTATTTATCCATGACCTCAGCTGAGATGCAGGTTGCTATTGATTTGCACATTCCTTTTGTCATGATTTTCTCTGCTATTAACTTATTACATATTTTATTTCAAATCACACATAAGCAGTGGATTCAAGGGGGGGGGGGGGAGAGCTGGCCTAACCCCTCCCCCTCCTCAAAGTCACTCCCATGGCCCCCTCTAGAGTATTTCCTGGATCCATGACTGCACATGTATATGCTTAGCTCTGAAATCACAAATATATGTGAGGTGTCGTGACAAAATGAATCTCCTTTACGGCAGGTTGATTTGGGATGAAAATATAATCATCATCTGCTATTTGAGGCTGGACGAAAGCGAAGCCTCAAATATAAATGTCATATTTTGACATTGTATATTAGGTTTCAATGTTTCTGATAAGTTTAATATCTGTATTTCACAATAAAAAATTGTTTTGAGTTGATTTACATTAGTGTTTTTTAAGGCACATTTTTCCAGAACAGATAGGAAAACCATCACTAAATTTATCAGTTGTTTAACTTTTTGCAATTTTCTATAAAATATGTTTTCAGACTTTTGAATTTGAAAATTATTTTACTTCAGTTCTACTTTAGCAGGAACCTGATTTAAAGACCAAAATAAATCCTTTATTCATCTATCTAAATAATATCATTAACTCACTTTTCATTTTTCATACAACAAGACTCATTTTGCCATGACAGCTCACTTATGACCACTTAATAATCAATTGTTTTAATTTGTAAACACATCAGATACTGTACATTAGAAGCAAACAAAAGTTAATTTTTACATGAAGTTATTATAAAAATAAGTTAATTCTGTTAAAAAAACATTGTCCTGATTTCAACAAGACCCTCCAATTACAGTTTAGTTGTTCTTCCATCTGAGCAGTCAGTGTCAAAAATATACAGCTGCCAAATCAAATATAGCTAGAAAATAATAGAAATACAATTTTGTATACTGTACATTTCATTTAGTTATTAATTAGCTATGGGTGTAAACGAGAAGGGAGTGGGTGGGTGCAGACGGGCAGCAAAACAGTTCAACTGAGTGACTTAAAAATGCTAAAAATGATCATTAAGTTTTCATTGGAATAGGCATTTAGTTCTGCATTCTCAATTTTAGCACCCCTAAAGCCAGTTCAGCATTCTCAATTTTTGCACCCCCGAAATGAAACCAACCAACACCCCTGGTTTGACTGGAAATTAGAAGAAAATAAATATTTTTCCTCCATAACGGATGGTTTAATAAATATCACTTTAGTAGACAGTTTGCATATTTATAGATTTTTCTATTAAAAAAAAAGTTAATGTCTGTAAATCATTGAAAAGAGATTATATTTTTATCAGTTAACTTATTAAAATTTGATAACATATGTAGTACAGTACATTTATATGAGCAAACAACTGTAACTTTGTATTTTACTAACAAAGAGTTTTCCTGATATATAATGGACCAATAAAATATGTCTAGACTTGTCTAGACTAGACTGACTGACAGGACGGTTGATTAATATTAATTTTATAATGTTTTTCCCCCCCTTTTTGGAGGGTTTTCATTCTATTAATGTTTACGTTTAATCTGAATATTATAAATACATTTTTTCTCATGCCTGAACATGTTTCCATAAGGTCCGATAAATTTGGAATTGCAAAAATTGCACAGAATTCTGCTGTAGGCAGTCAACGAGACTTCAATATAGAATAACATCCATTAAACATCATTATGTTCATGGAGTCAATGACAGATGTCAAAGACGAACCCATCAACCAAACATATGCTATATACAAAAAAAAAAAAAAACACACCAATCACAAAAGAATGTCAAAGTACTGTAAACATAATAATGCCCAGCTAAAAATTTTACAGACAACCTCTTCCGTCTGAGGTAAAGTTATGACAAATGTAAAATTTTATGCACGCGTTACTTCTGACGAGTGTCCACACGATGTTTATCCAGAACAACTAGTTCAAAGCTTAGAAGTAACTATGCAAATTTCCCAGAAGTGATAGTCACTACTTTGCTGTCTCTTAACAATTATTTTGCACATACCTTTTTGAAATTGTAAACAATTATAAAAAACTTTGTGTTTACAGTGGTTACACATCACAGGAAATGTTATTTTGGCACTCATTTGTAGGTATTTATCTTTCGAAAATATCTGAGGTCAAAATAAAGGTCGCATTTACTTGCGAGCTACGAAGTAAGTGCGTCTATTGTACACAGCGCTACTCCGATCGCGTACTCTTTATCTTCCTTGAAGTAGCACACTTACTCCTGAGACTGCTCAGGAGTAAATCGTCTGTAGTAAGTTTGAACTAACTTAGGACAAAGAGCGTCTTCACGTATTCAAAGCTTACTTCTGACTCGTCTGAAGGTGCCTAGTGGTGTATAAAATGCTTATACTGTACAGTTGCAGATCCTGGAATTTTAATAGAGAGAGCCCCGGGAGGGAGTTTCACAGATGGACAGTCTAGACCGCTTCACCCCCACCATAGTTTGGGCTGAGGTAAGAAAATTTATGATGGCACATCGGAAATGGCTCTCTGAGACTTAAATTTGAACGGAAATTTCTCTTTTCTCCATTTAAACAAAAACATTTTCCTCCCTCTTCGAATACACCACTGTATTTGTAGAGCCATAAATAAGTATTACAACATCGCTTCGCAGCTAAATACAACTGTTGCAAGTATTACACGGCTGTAAACATTGTACATTATTTTTTTACTTCAGAGATCGCAAGATTTTAAGATTTTGGGTCGGTCAGGCTTTGAAAACAATTTTTTGTTTGTTTTTTTTTTTCTTTTTTGGCCTGATGAAGTGACAACTTACCAGGTTTACTTAGAACATCTTCTTTTCTCTTTCTTGGAACCAACTAGGTGAGCTGTTGCAGGTGTAACATTTCTATCTTCTTGTCTTCCATATGGAATGTCTACATCTAGAATTGTATAAAAAAAAATATTGGTCCTCAGAAAAATGTGTTATAGATTATGATTATACAGTTGTGCCTTTTCAATGTACAGAGTCATATTAGGGTCAGTCATGGTTTTTTTTTTTAAATAGTGTCATGGGCAGCAGAGAGGGTAGGTAAGAACGGGCCCCAGTGTAAATTTAATTGCCGGGCCCTTGGATGTAAAATGTCAACCGAGGGCCGTAGATCTGGGTATAGCTCGTGGGTGGGGAAGGTGGTGCTGAGAGCGATCAATTCCACTGGTTGGTCTAGGAATTGGAAATAGAGTGGGCCCAGGGGGATACTTTCACAGACGGAGGGTCTGACCACCTCATGTTCACCATGGTTGGGCCTGAGGTCATTTATGATTATGGCACCCTAAATTGACGGAAACGGCACTCTAAGACTTCAAGAATTTGAATATCAATCAATCAATAACACTTCTCTGGCTGTTTTTTCTTTAAAATTTAACCTGAAAATTATTTTTAATTATTATTTTTAGGCCCATTTATGAAAGGGCCCCTAATAATCAACCCCAGTGTTTTGTGCTGGTTGCACTGCCCATACCTACACAACTGGTCAAGGGGGAAAAGTTATCCAAAAGGAGTTTTATTTTCAGTTGGGTTAGGGTTTGCATGGCTTTGGTCAGAGTTCAGAGACTAAGCCCTGATAGAACACCAAGGCCTAGGTGCACAGAGAACAATTTTTGTGAAGTAATTGTGAGACATTTAAACTAAGTTTATGTCTGATGCATCAGAAATAATGGGTGCTTGACCTGTCTGTTAACGGTCGGGGATTGAAATGCCTTCAGGGCATATCAGTTGTTCACAGAAGCATCTGCAATTGAATCTGCGATATACAAGGCCTCGGTGGTCTAGCGGTATGACAGCCACCTTGATAGGGAAAGATCCACCCCTAGATGCACCACTGGCTATTCCTGCAGTTTTGTTGTTAGCCTGCAAGGTATCCCTCGTCAGTACTTTTTTGTATATTAGATGCATGCATACAAGCACTTCATCATTTATCGAAATACAAATTTTAAAATGATCCACATCCATAATCCCTTGTACAGTACTATAAATTCTAACCTATCCAGCTTTTTGTCAGGGTAACAGAAGCAATGCCATAGCCAGCTATTGGGACAGTCCCACACCATTTTTCTGATGGGTCCACAAAGAATGGGTTCACATTTTTAAAAAAGGGTACAAATTATGTAATTTTATGCATGGGTCCACTTTTTTTAAAAAAGGGTCCTGATCTCTCATATTTAGCTTAAAATGGGTAAAATTTAAAAAAATGGGTCCAGATTTTTTGTATTTTTGAGTAAAATGGATTCACATTGTTTGATTTTACGCGTAAAGTGGGTCCACCCTGATATTGTCCCGTACTGTTTGAAAATCCTGGCTACGCCATCGGACAAAAGTGTCAGGTAGGAATATTATTCTCTATAGTTTTTTAGAATATGAATGAATAAGACAAATTTTTCTAACAATTAAATTTAACAATTGTCAAAGTTTGCTACTCAAGTCACTAATGCAGTGTAATATATTTTTATTTTAGTATGGAATCGTGAACATGATATTAAATTTTTTAAAGAAAGATAGCAAAATGTTGTCCAATATCCAAACAAAATGACTGATATATTTAAAATTTTAATAACTTTCTATCCAGTGGCGGATCTGGAAATTTGACTTGCTGTAGAGAGGTCTCTTCGAGGGACTTTCACAGATGGAGAAAATTTACAACATTTAGACGGCCAGAAATGGCACTCTCGGACTTAAATTTTATTACAATTCCCTCCTTTTCATTATTTTTATAATTCTGAAAAATTTAGGGGCAGGAGCCCCTTAAATTCGCCAGTGCTATTGTCAAAAAATACACTAAAAAAACCCTAACGTCCTTAAAAATTTCCTGGATTAACGTACTCCCTTCTCCCTTGCAGAGATCTGTTATAGACTCAAGTAAATTTGATTACAATTTCTTTTTTACAATTATTCCTTTGTACTTATTGTTGATTCATACAGGCGAACTGGGGCAAGTCAATTATTTTTCTTTTACAGTATGCTCTAGAGCTACGGTAAGTTCCAAAGGAAACTTAGGTAAAATTAAAATTTCTAGGCTGAGGGCGATATGGCTACAGTACGCCTGATCACACACTAAAATTCTTAACCACTGCCAGTGTTTCTGCTCTTTGATTCGTGACGCTTAAACAATTTTCAAGTGAAATCCAACCAAAAATAACATGTGCAACAAATTTCCGATTGACAAAATCGATTTTAAACAAACTAAACATGAAATTGGATGAGAGTCATGCCACGGCTTCAAAACAGAATGGAGCTACTACGGGAATTATCATGCACTATTAATCGTTTTGTGTTACAAGAATAATTGTTGATGACAGAGTATCAATTTCAAAACAAAATCCAATCGTGTGTATAGTGTATAGTAGGTCTACACTGATTATTACCCTTTACAGCCAATTCCCACAGTAGCAGCTTGGCTATGTCAGAGATACAGTAGTGTAGGTATAGACTTGCCACAAGTCGCTTATTACTGTTTTTTTTTCTCATTCTGGACAGCGACACCAATGAGCAAGAAAAAAAAGAAATTGAGTGTGGGATGCAAATTAAATTAGGAATGGTGCGCAATAAGTGCAATAAGGAGTGGAACCACAGCCTGAAACCCAGGTTAGGGTGCAGGCTGGTTTCATCCTGGGGTGTGGTGCGAAAATTGAGAATGCGGAACTAAATTCCTATTTCAATGACAATAGTCATGTTAACATAATTAGTGGAACTTATTTGCTGCCATAGAGGTGTATCCCACAACCACGCCCATAAGAGAGATGGGGAGAGAGCAATCGGAGCACGATCCAAAAGGCCATTTCTGTGAGATGACGGATGGTTAGAACTTTGCGATGTTTGGAACAATGGTGATTCCAACCCGGCCAATTCGCCCCCCCCCCCCACTGCCTTCATGGTTCCAAACATCGAGACATTTAAAACTTCTGCCATCTACACAGGTTTCCATTTGGACCTACTTCGTGAAAAAAAACAAAAAAAAACACAATTCTTCGGGGAGAAAAACAATATGTATTTTCTACATCTTTAAAATTGATTAAACAAGCCTTTGAAATCCCTACATTTTCATATTATAGATCAGATTACACTGTAGCACCTCTATGAGGCGGGACTTAAAATTTATAAAGATGATTGATATCCCAAGTAAGAATAAAGACGATTTTAGCAAAACCTAGATGGAAGATGAGTTTGTACGTGGTGAATGATTGACATGCAAGCTGCGGGGAAAACACTAAAATTCCTCCGCAAAAAGCTTATACAGTTAAAAGTCTATTAATGTATGCTGACAAATTAGAGGTGGTCCTAGTTAGAAACTGTTCTGATTGGTTAAGGAGGTTTGGTAGATGGATTTCTGGAATGGAATTTCTTTTTATGGATGGAGAGGCTGTTCCCCTTGAGATTTTTCCCAGGGCTTCTATTCAATGTTTCACAGTATTATAAAAGACTGTTTTCTGTTATATTTTCTGAACTCTAATAATATGGCTTGTCAATTAACTTTCCTACTAAATGTAAAACCAAATTATTATTCAAAATTCAAAATAGAAATTTATTGTCAGCTACTGGGTAATTTACAAACATGTAGGCTTTTTTTTGTACCAGAAAGAGTCCACTGTAGAGTATGGTTTATTTAAGATCACTACACTGTTGCTATAGAGTACAATGAGAGTCGTATCGTCACAACACCAGGTGGCGCCCTCTGGACGTTGGTTACCGTTCATTATGCCTGAATGACTTCATAATCTTAATGGTTTAGAATAGGCATTCTGGAATAGGCATTTTAAAACCTAATAATTTACCATCAAAATGTACTAAAAACACAAAAAGCTCGCATTATATTAGTTATCGAACACACATTTAATCATCAACAATTAACATTTACAAAGAAAACTTAAGATACAACTTCTTAATAATTACGTTAGAAATTGGGATCAATGATTTGTCAGTATAGAAAATGGCGTTGGTTGAACGCGTTTTTGTGTTGCCGATAGCAATGGAGTAGTATCACGTGGTATCGTGACGTAACACTGTAGTACTCTAGAGTCCACCAGAAATACGAAGTGACTGTATATTAGAAGTTTAATTAACATTTCTCTATACTTTCATATTTGCGGTGCGTGTGTTGGACGAGAAAACACTGTGCGGGGAGAGTAACACACTGCAAGGTATGCGCAACGGATCGGGAAGCAAGAGAGAGGGCTGCTATATAGGCTGGCGCCTAGAAAAAAATGAGATGTTATTACAATATCTCAGGCCTAGATTTTACATTAACATTTGCCTAGGTCATATGTAACTCCTCTGGCATGATTCAAGTTAATGTCCAATGTATCCTGCAAACTGGGAATCCCCAAGCAAATCTCGCACACAGGTCTCTTTCTTCCTGCAACAAACAGATAATAATCTACGCTGACCTAACAACTGACCAATCATAAACAATAACGTTTTGAAAACCGCAGTACGTATCGCGTAGAAGTTTACTGATAAATAGGGCTACACCTTTGTGTGGGTCCTACTTTGGTAAACTTTTAGTATGTTGTTTTAAACACATAATTAAGTAATAATTTTAGATCATAAAATGATTTGTTGCAATTTTGTCCACGGGAAACCGTATTTCCTGGCCACAACGTGGCCAGGAGTCGGCAATAGCGTGTAGCGATTTGATGGAAAACAGGCTTGACCGAAAGCTGTTTCGGTGACAGCGTGTGGAGTGGCGATTTTATGGAAACCATTTAAGCTTGAGAGTTGACACTCAGACGTCACCAACTCCAACAGGGCGCTTGCCATATGACTAGACTTGACCTAAAGCTGTATAGTTAACAGCGTGTGACAGTGATTGTATTTAAACCAAGCTTAGAGTTGGCTTTCAGACGTCACCGACTCAAAGCGAGCGCCTACCATGACCTATTGAGTATTTCAGGCAGTATTGTAGACAAACCATAATATAGCAGGTGTTTTGGTTATACGAAAGAGAGGCGTGAAATATTTGGTTTATAGCCACAGACCAAGCCTACTACTACTAGAATAGTAGTTGCTAGGCCTTTAACAGCGATATAAGTAATATTACTTACATAGCCTAGGCTAGGCCTCTATCAAGATCAGGTTTAATGGAATTATATGAACCAAGATATTCTCACCAAAGTACACTAACAGTACTGTACTTATAAGAAAGTATAATACATACTCCAAGTATTGAAATACACGCCATCGTGTTGGGATTCAATATTTCGACATTAATTATGTCATCATCAGGAATGTACTTCGCTACATGAACTGCAGCATAGGCCCTAGTCGTACTTTATTTTTTTCTCACGGTACGGTTCTGGGTATTTTAACTCACTGTTCATATTTTACCTCCAACAGAAGGCTGCCCTCAATGATTATTAAAACTACCATTGAAGTACATCTTGAAGTACATAAACTAAAACTACTTTAACCATGCTTTAACCTGACTTAAACTTCCTAGAAATTACAGAGGGCGACAGACAAGAATTTTTGAATTACATACATCCTACCAAGTTCGTACGTCTGTATGGTTAGTGTAAGGCGTGACTACTGCTTGGGTATTTACCATGGTATTTACCCAAGATCTTGGGTATTTTGACTTGGTCTTGGGTTCTTGGGTATTTCGTTCAAATCCTTGGGTATTTTATTTTTAGTAAGAAAATTAAATATTTTTGTCATAGAGGAAGAATTAAGAAGTATATTTCAGTCCATTCAAGTAAGCAAAACTCAACGAAGTGCACATAACATTGACCGTTAATTGCTATAAACATGGGTTCAGAATTATTTATGCATTACATAATAAAACTTGGATCACTGATCAATTGATAACACTGGCCGACTGAGGGCGTATTTTTCTATCCGTATTATCACCTCATGAATATTAATTTTAATAATTAACAATAAAAAAATTGGTTTATAAATTGAACTAAAATCGAAACTATACATGCGAAAAACACGTATTTTTCTAATTTTAAAACATTTTCAGGAAGCTTGTGTAATTCTGGGCGATTTTAGCTGAATCTTGGGTAATTTCGACCCAGTCATTGGGTATATCAAAAATTGTGTTTCTTTGCTCTATGCGCTGATCGCCTTCATGATCATTGCTGTCACGTAACACCGCTGCCATGGTTACTGCAGGGAGTTAAGGGATTATACAGTAGATGTTACGCCACTGAATAATACATAAAATTATATAGAACAGACTTGTACATACCTGAACATGATCAGAAAGAAGCATGCACTGAAACACAATTCTAAATTGATTAAAATTGTTTGGTAACGTTTCTTACCATTAAAGAGATTTTATAGCATGTTGTATAACCCTTTTGATTATCCAGACCGTAGTCCCATAGATGAAGAAATCAAGGCTGTTTCCATGTCAGAAACTGAAAAGAAGGATACACAACATATTGAAGCAAATTCTGAAATTATGGATCAAAAAGTTTAGTTGAATTGATTGATTTAACTGTCAATAATACAAATTGCTATAGGTCCTATGTCATCGTAAATAAATGTTTATAAAGAAATGTGTGTGTCTTCAATGTGTTATTTATTCATTTTAACATTGTATATATTGTATTTAAAACCCTATTTCACAAAGTTTTTCATTACACACAGGGTAATATATACTCTCAATTAAGCGCCGCAACGCTTATTTTAGAGAAGCGCTTACCGAAAAAAATCCTGTTTTGTGCGGCGCTAATTCGAGAGCTGCGCTTATTTGAGCATTTACGATACTTTAGTTAAAATTTTTAGGTTTTTATATTTTTAAATATTCTTTACTCTAAATTTGACTAGGATAGGATGTACATGATTTCTCTCAAATGTTAAACCATGATTGCAATTATTTTTGGTTAATTTTTAATTAAAATAAAAATAACTTCCTTTATATTTAATTGATCATTTTGTGTCAAGTTTTGTGAATGTTTGTTTATTTTAAAATTATTTTAATGTTTTAGTTAGACACGTTTTAGCATATTAGTGCAAAGTCGAATCTTGCTTTTGATTTAAAAAAATAAACCAGAATAAAAACATCTTATTATTTTGCAATTTGTTATGTAGGAGAGAACAGTATTTTCCACAGTTCTGAAGAAAGTCGAAATGAAGGCCATGGCTTTATGACAGATAATTTGCCAACACTGCAATCAAAACCACACTCTACAAATATCAGTGAAGAGAAATATTTGCCATATGAATGCGAACACTGTGGTCAGAAAGTCAAGGACAAAAATGATTACTTAAATAGACATTTGAAGACACATGTAGGAGAGAGACGATACAAAGTTAAAGTATTGCTTCTGAAAACACTTGAATGTGAACATTGTGGAAAGAAGTTTAATTGTAAAGAATATTTGAAAAGTCATGTGGAGGTACACAGAGACGAGAAACTTTATGAAGGTGAACATTGTGGAAGAAAGTTTAATCAAAAAAGCAATATGGAATTGCAGATGAGTGTACACATAATGGTGTCTCCGTATGAATGTGAACAGTGTGGAAAGAAGTTCAGACAACAGATGGGTTTGAAAAACCATGCGAGTATACACACTAAAGACAATCTTTATTAATGTGAACGGTTTGGTCAAAGCTGTTCTTTGAAAAAAACATTTAAGGACGCATAGAAGAGAGACACCTTATGAATGTGGCAAGAAACTTATTCAAAATGGTACTTTAAAAGCACAATGGGCTCATACTGAAAAGATGACTTATGATTGTTAATATTGTGCAAAGAAGTTTTACAGTACTGTAAAGAACATTTAGAAAATCATATGGCGATACACACAGGAGAGACACACTATTTATGTAAACAGTGTGGAAAAATGTTTAATCAAAGTGATAGTTTAGAAACACATATGAGGAATCACGCAGGAGACGAACCTTACAAATGTAAACAATGTGGAAAGAAGTTTAGACAAAAGATGGGTTTAAAAAGCCATGTAAAGATACATACGGTAGAGAAACTTTATATATGTGAACATTGTGGAAAGAGGTTTGGTCAAAGTTGTACTTTGAAAAGACATTTAAGGATGCATAGAAAAGAGACACCTTATGAATGTGAACAATGTGGCAAGAAATTTAAGCATAGCTGTAAAATAGAAAAACATTTGGAGAAGCATAGAAAGAGAATTAAGAAGAGCTTCAATTTGAACATGACGGCACACACAGAAGTGACATCTTACCAATGTGAACATTGCGGAAAGAAGTTTAATCTAAAGTGTAATTTGAAAACACATTTGAGAATTCATACCGGGGAGACACCTTATCAATGTGAACATTGTGGAAAGAAATTTAAGCAAAGTTGTCATTTGAAACAACATTTAAGAATTCACACCGGGAAGACACCTTATGAA